GTTCAGAGTGGATATAGTTCTCAAGATGGTACGAGTGCACGGTGCGGACCAAAAAGAGATTGGTCCTTTACTGTGCTTCAAGCGTGGCTAAGAATTTTCGGGTTTACTCCTTTTTTAAGGAGTCCCTACGTTTATGATGGTTCTCAACTGAGTATCCTAGCAAAGGCTACGGTTGCGTTCTGCTTTCTGGGCTAGTGGGGCAGGCATAGGTGGCGGGCTGTCATTGTCTTTAAGTAGTTTTTCGCGGAATCTGCTCTGTTTACCTGGTTATTCTTTGTTTATAGATCAGCCGATAAACTTGAAATTTGGTAGCGAATGTACTGCCAGAGACCTCCCGATCGCTATAGATCAGAAAGGCTCATTTGAGACATTTTTTCGAATGATTGCGGTTGGTTGGGGGATCTAACCTATGTAGGGGTTTGGTTCTTTGGTCGGAGTTCATCCAATCGTTTCTATGATTCTGAAAGTTAGTCGAGAACGAGGTGTATACCCAGAATTTTCAACTTTATACTATGGAAACGTGGAGATTTGAACGGATGTGGGCGAATTATTGCATGCAAAGTGACAAATGTTGGTTTACGGGGCGATTCGGGAGCGCCCATATGTTTTTGCTGTGGCGATCAGTGCATATTGCCGGCCGGACGGGTGTGTTCTTATCAAACGGCGTTTGCATTAGTGGCGTTTCGTCAGTTTTTGATGTGCGTGTAACAAGACGAATTGCAACGTATGTTGCAATTTTCAGAAAAGCCCTTTGGCTACGGCTTATCTTCCCAATTGATGGGCATTACTGGTAGGGATGTCTGTGGATAGTACGTGAGCTGGCCATCGAAAACTAAAGCTTTGTTGTTGTTTTGTTTACCACAAAGGTATCATGGCTATGAAATTTTTGAGTATAGGCAATGTGGATGGACAGCTGCCTACACCACACCACACACCGCAATACGTCTTGGAAATCTGTCAACATAGGATTGTTCAGTAGTAGTGGGGGTGGAGTGTGAAGTACTAGGTCCAAAGGACGTATAGTGAGATGAAGAAAGTTTTTAGCAGCCAAACTCCTGCAAACTAGTTACTTACAAGTAGTACGGGACCTTCGCGGTAAACGGACATTGCTTCACCGCTGAAACTTCCGATCTCTGATCTTTTGAACTGGGCGAAGGAATAGTAAAGTGGCCCCAGTCATCGGCCAAGATCTGGTTTTGTTTTTGACCATAATTGAGCAGGACACAGTCAGCCCCATCTTTTGAGAGGTTACAATAGTGCAGGGGCACATAGGTCCACTACTTAACCCATGGTTTGGGCCAACTTTGAAAGGTTTCAGAAATCGAAACAATGAGGCCTTTACATTTTATTTCAGTCGATTGTATAGGTGAAAAAGCGATTCCAACGACGTGAGTAAAGTGG